ACAAGCAAATAAAGTTTTACCAAATAAAATTGTTTTCTATCGTGATGGTAAATTATTCAAGTTTTTTTTTAAATGACTTGCTATAATTGATCAAGTATTTATTAGTAGTAGACGATGGTCAATTTGGAAAAGTTATTACTCATGAAATTCCTGCAATTCGTCAGGCTTTTGATCGTAAGTTAATTATTTTAATTTCAATTTTTGATTATAAATTATCTTTTAGGTATTTATGGTGATAAATCCAATCATCCACTATTAACTTTTGTTGTTGTAAAAAAACGTCATAATACACGTTTTTTTAATTATAATACAACAACGAAACAGATGAATAATATGAGTATTGGTGACGTCATTGATACAACAATTGTTCATCCATATCAAAATAATTTTTATTTAAATTCACATAATGCTTTTCAAGGTGTTAATCACTTATCACTTTATCATGTACTTTTGGATGAAATTGGCTTCACTGCTGATGAATTACAATTGTTAACATACCATTTATGTTTTACAGATCCTCGATCATCAGCTTCTGAAGCTATTCCATCGGTTGTACACCAGGCTGACATAGCAGCATTGAAAGCACGAGATTTGTTTTATGATGATGAACGGTAAGATTAAGAAAAAAAACTTTAAATTCAAATTATATTGTAATCTTTTTTTGTAGCTCATCGGCAACTACCGTTGGTGGACGTAGTCAATCATTACGAAATCCAACTCTGAATGATGTAGATTACAAGATTCTTGATGTACATGAGAATCTTAAAAATCGACCAGTATTTGGTTAATTCAAGGCTCTCCAATTTGGTACCAGTTGGAGTTGGAGAACTTATATTGTTGAAGGCTCATCCGTCGTGATCTTTTTTTATCTTTATTTCGGAACAGCTATCCTCTCCAACTTTAATTTCTATTTCTTTTTTTTTTGTCTATTATAATCATGAATTCTTCTATTAAAAACATATTTTCCTTTGATGCTTGATTTTTGAAGTGTTTTATTAAAAATAAATATATGTGTCCATTCTAACCAGTGTGATAAAAAAAGCTCAGTTTTTAAGTACACGGAAGGGTTTTAACTTACTGATAATTCCTGCAATGATGAGCAAGGTAAGCTAATTTCCGTATAAATCAGGTCTAGTGAAGCTGATCGCATGAGTTCGTTGTGGAAATAGATGTAGAATGTCGATATGGATGAAGAGAAGACTCACACCTACACCTGTGAACAAGTGTCCTAACCAGCAACTATTCGGTTCCCCTAAATCTAATGATAAAGTATGTCTGGTTCACTGAACAGGCTCAAATCATTTACTTAGTGACCGTTCTATTTGCTTTTTTTTATTTTAGTAAATACTTAAAAATATTTGTGCGAACATGTTCAACTAGAAATATATACAGAAATGACACTTTATTCTATATTTTGTCGTGTAAATGTAAATCGTTTCTTTTGAGCAAAAAAAAAATATTTTTTACATTTATTCTCAATACTTGAGGAAAAAAATCGGAAATTTTTCAAGAAGTCCTTGTATATGTTATTGTTAAAACAAAGACGAATGCGGCATCCAAATTTATTAGTCAAATGAAATTAAAATCTCTAAAGTATTCATGTATATATGTTATTAGAATATCAATGATCTTTTACGTATGGAATACCTTATTTTTATTGGAAGTAACCAGGGACTAATCTGGCTTGGAATACCTCTGGTTGTCAAACTATTGATGGGATTGTGTTTATTACGATAATAGGAATTCAAGAACTCAAGCAAATAGTCTTCAATGATCCTCTCAGTAAGCAATCGTAGATTATTATCAGTTTCGATATGGAGTATGAATTATATATCCAAAATCTTATCTCTCTTTTTCTTCGACTTATCGATTGAGCAACGATGAAAATATTCAACAAGTTTGATCTTTCTTCTTTCTAATTCAAGCGATAATTTAAATTAGCAGTACTTAGATTAATCATTATAAATTGTATTCATACGTAGAAATTAAAATAATCAACGAAAAGTCACACGTAATATACAAACAAAATATATATACATTAGTGTACAACAGAGATGTCCATGAAGGCATCAACGGTCATATTTGGGGTTTCGGACTTTTTTTTGATAAACTTCGACATGGTCATGATACTTCTAATGTGCATAGCACTGACTGATCATGAACGTTTGATATAAAAGAAATCTCCGTTGAGCTTGTATTTTCTGGAAAAACTTGGTCAATCTAGCTCTGACTTTGGAATCGAGTAAAATGTAATACCATCATTTTGTTCTAGCTCATGAATAAAGGGTGTGGGTATGTGTGGATGGACTATGCTGGTGTGGGTCTTCCCTTCATCACTCACACTCGACCCCACCCCAAGGGTGTGGGTGTGGGTGTGGGTGCGGGTGTGGGTGTGGATGTGGGTGTGGGGTGTGGGTGTGGGGTGTGGGTGTGGGTGTGGGTGTGGGGTGTGGGTGTGGGTGTGGGTGCGGGTGTGAGTGTGGACAAAGAGAACGTTTACACTCACACCCACACAACTTGGATCTTTAAATTCGGTTACCCAATTTGCAACGGTACGGTATGCCGGAGCACAATCCTGATAAATATTTTCCAGCTCCTTAGTAATTTCTGCGGCATTTAGCCCCATCCGACTGAATAATTTTATGACTACTCGATGCTCGATGTTCGACATATCTGACAGATAAATCAACACGGTTATGAAAACTAGATAAAGCAAGATAGATATATAGAAGTATATTAAAAAAGTCCCTTATACAGTTTATGATGAAATGCTGGAAAAATCCAAGAAGCCATGTCAGGAAATATCCAATATGTGATGCGTGTATATTTTCAATATTTGTGTATGTCTCAACACTTTCTGTAGATCATACTAATGATACACTTTCCACACGATTTTGTAAGCAAAACACCTCAAACACACTTTTTTCATATAGTTGCCCGAACTTTCCGGGCAATGGGATATATTTCAGTCCTGCATGTGTACTTAGGAAATCTCAAGTAGAATGAAGTAGCTTCAGTTGGCTCAGGTAGTTCAAATAGCTTGAAGTACGTCAAAGTATCTTAGAGTAGCATCAATTATTTATTTAAAGCAGCTTCAAGTATAAAAGTACACTGTTTCTCCATTGTTTCTATATCACGTGGATGTACAATGACAATTTATTTTTATTGATGATCAAGAAATAGACATCTATATGTTGATCTATTCATTAGACTATTTAACGAACATTCGCCTGTAAAGATCGTCAATTTCTTTCTTTTGAATAGTTTAACATTGATAGAGGATATTTTTCTTTCTATAGATATCCAATGTCACATCCATTTGGACTTTTGGTGAACACCAGGTTAAAATACCCGTTCCGCCAACAATTAAATTCATATTAGCTGTTGATTTCACTTGAAGTGAACCAACGCCCGTCAAAGTAGCATTGATACTTGGTGTTGCTGTACTAGTTGCATCAACAGATCCTTTGCCTCGATTAACGACCGTTAATTTGCCGATATTCCCACTTAATTTCGTTGTACTATTGCCCAGGAAGATAAATTCTGCTAAATCATAGGCAATATTGGATATTTGAATCTGTGAATTGCCCATGCTGAGTAATCTTAATTGATATCCTTTATAAGAATAATCTGTCATGATTAATGTTGATACACTATGGATATGTATCGCTTGATAAGTATAGGCCCGAATAATAACATCACAATCGATTGTTGCTGAGATAATTAATACAGAATCTTGGGTAACGTTTGCTAGAACATAAGGAAGAATACTGGGATCATCGCAAGTTATTTTTGTGGAATAGTCACTTGGTGATGAAGTAGCTTGCAGCTGAACACTTCGTGCCAATAGAATATTTATTTTATAAAATGATGGCGTAGAAGGGGATGATGTTGGGAATTGACTTCCACTGGTCGCAACTGTTGGGAACCCAGTGGCAGTAGTTGTTGTGACCCAACTGAAACCAGATGTTTTTACTGCAATTGCCACATTTAGATGAATCAAACACAGATTCGCCATGATCATTAACAGCGTTACAATCTTCATTGTTTTCATGTTGCCAGAAAACCATTAACATAAACTCAGATTTGTTGCTTCTTATACAGTGGTTCTAATAAACGTCTTCAGATAAGAGATAAGATGATTCAAGATGATGAAGAAAAAGCGTCGCAATACTCTTAGTTACATATCCAACCCGTCGACAGATAAAAATGTTGCATACTTTTCACCATCTAAAGATTCGAATGCGATAAATTTAGCTGTGGTGTGGGTGTGGGTGTGGATGTGGGTGTGGGTGTGAGTGTGGGTGTGCGTGTGGGTGCGAGTCTGGGTGTGGGTGTGACTGTGGGTATGGATGTGCGTGTGCGTGTGCGTGTGCGTGTACGTGTGGATGGGCATGGTATGGACTGAGTGAATATGAAAATCACGTCGCACACCCACACCCAATAAAGCATTGAAGTTTTTGTTTAGTGCTCGTAAAGCACCTATAGCAAGTGTTTTGAAATGACGGAATCTTCGTTTCTTCAAATAGTGTGAAGTAAGGATGCGAGTGTGGGTGTGGGTGTGGGTGTGGGTGTGGGTGTGGGTACGGATGTGGATGTGGGTGTGACCGTGAATTGAAAGAAGGATCATACCCACAGCCACACTCTTTTAGGATATAACAACTTTTAGCGATTATTACTGAAATGAACAATATAAACATTTGATTTTTATTTGAGAATAATTTAATTTTTTTTCTTTAGATTGATAAAGATTTCTTTGATTCAGATAAGCATTTAACTTAGATGACAATCGATTATTATTAATCTAAATCATAAGAAAGAACTTGTTCGTCTCTAATTAAAATTATTTTAAATTTACAAACAAAATAAAATTGTTCTAAACTATTTTTTATATCGAATTGATATTGAATTCTACTATTATTTCTTTTCTTTATTTTGTTTTTGTTTTCAATAACTCAAGTATTTATTTGTGGTTGTTGTTCACATTCATTTAAGTCTACTAGTGAACAAGAATTAGAAAATTCTAAATTTATTTCTATCCTAAAGAAATATTTTATCGATAAAATATACTCGTTTACTTTTGATTTATATGTAGAAAAAGATAAAAAAGAACTAAGAAAAAAAGGGATTAGATTTACGTTTGCATTGAAGTTTAAGGGAAAAGTAATAAGAGAACCACTGTCCGTGATTTACTGTTTCGAATGACATCAATGGAATCAAAAGTTGTTTAAATATTTAATAAACTCCTGGATTTTTGTCAGTAAATAGAACTTCGAATAGATTTTTGAAAGAATTATTGATTCTTGTTTAGAAATTTCTTATTACAAACTAACTCATAATTAGTTAATAAAGAGGCTTTCTAGCGATCCGTCACGAGTATATAGGACAACATAGAATTTTAAAGGAAGTATTTTTATAAAAATATATAGGACTACATTTTTTTCCATAAGAAAGTTTTTAGCAGAATTGTCAAATATTAAAATTTCCAAAAAAATGTTTAAAACCATATAATAGTCTCTGGTTGATTTATTTTTATACACAGCTTACATTCTCTAACTAAGATAGGAGGACGCAAAGATGTCAAAGCAGATCGAAAGTACTTTCGAATATGGAAGAAAATGTGAAAGAAAAGTGTTGAATACAGATGAGTGATGTATGGATGTGTGATTAATCGAAGTAAATTTATTTCGTTTGTTTGGTCTAGCATAATTTTTTCAAAAGCGGAGAAAAGTTCGTCTGAAATTTCCCAGAAATAAGAGAAATAGATAGAATTTTTCAAAGGTTAGGGGTGGAACCATGTCCCTTCCCTCGCTCGTGCCACTCCTAAATCTGTCTTCGTGATTATTGACATTGAATAGATTTTAAAATCGCATAAAAAATTATATGCAAGCATGTAAATGAATGACAAATATTTCTTTCACTTAACACTGATGCTTAAATCAATTGTAGTCTTTTGTTTCGTTTTTTGTTGTTGTTTAGCAAGTGCAATTTCTCTTTTTTTTTGAATATGATTTAAGTAATGAAATGCAATTGACTCCAAAATTCGATTTCGATTCCGATGGAGTGACCAAAAAAATTTTTGTTTGGAGTCAGTATCAGAGTTATATCCGTAACTTTCATATTGATATTTTAACTAATGAAAAACTATATATTTACTATTTTTAGCGTTATGAATAAGTTTCAAGAAAAGATAATTATATTCGAGAGATTCACACGTAAAAATAGCAAAAAAAGCGCTATTTTTTTCTTAAAATGTTTTTGATTATTTTGTTTCTGCAGTTTCTGAAAAACCATCAACAAGAGTTAAGGAATTCAACATTAATATATAATGTTCATTTTTTATTGATTCTCTTAATTATTCATCTACAATAATTTTACGTGTCAAAATGATATGAATGTTACTAAAATGTAAAAAAGATTCGGGACTGAACCCTCAGATTTTTCTGTTTGAATTATAGGAGACATTTTTTGGAAGCTTTTGGAGTCAAAGTTGCGTATTAAATCCAAAGCGTTTGACGTCATAGTTCACTATAATAAAAACCTTTATAACTTTCGATCAATCATCACCATCAATTAATATTATACTGTCACTACCTGCTACCAGTTTTATTGTGGAAGTTAATGGTAGTAACATACAAAAGAATGTTTATCGTCTACTAACTGAAATATGATTCTCTGCAAAATAATCTTTACTTTTTTGAAATATATAGGAAACATAGGACGACTGCGAAGCTTGCCAATAAAAATCTAAGAAATATTTTTCTTTTGATATCCATTAGTTAGTCGAATGTATCACTTCGCTACATATATTATAAATATTTGTCTAAAACTTGATTATTTCAAAGTAATTTGATCATCATAAAATATTAACGTAAAAAAGGATTAAGTTAAAACGGTTTGTGAATCTGTCCGACGAGGGTGTGGGTGGGTGTGGGTGTGCGTATCCATGCAAAGAAGACCAAAACCCATTCAGCCACCCACCAACCTCCACACTCACACCCACACCCACATACCCACACCCACACTCACACCCACCATCATTTAAATAAGAATATGCTTGATGATAATCTTCTGTAGATGTTGATCATTTTTTAGCAACATAATAAATGAGACATCGAAGAGTAGATTGATCTTTTTCTGGACTAATCTCTTCATTAGATATTGTTAACATCATGCCACTACTCATAGCTTGTCCATAAATATAAGTCAATTCAGGATTATTTGATGTTTGAGCTTTATCAAGACAATATAGTGTATATGATTGAGAAATGGTTATTAGTAAAACAATCAGTTCTTCAGACTTTGAGGTTGGAATTGTAATAACAATTCTATGTGCAATTTGTGGTTTATTGAATCTTTATTCAATTGTTTTAAACATTTTATCAAGTACAAATTTTTGATAAGGTTTACTAGTTGCATCTAAGGGAATCATACTGCCTAGTTTAATTAAACTAAGATCAATATCATGATTATTATTGAAAAGAGCGTCTTTGAAAGCTCCTTTAGCTGATTGTTGAGCTTTCGGAGTGAGTGATTGAAATATATTTTTAGGTATAAATACATATGCGATATAATCTAATGGAATAAGTTGTAGTAAATGTTCATCGAATACTTCATGTGAGTCTACAGTCATCCATCGATCAATAATATCCTTAAGGATAACATTCATTGATTGTTTATTTTTACCAGTTACAGCAATTAATATGGTAGCTGCTGCATATTCATAACGAGGAATAGAACAGTCTAATTTTGAATTATGAAAGTTTACAACACGTTTATTTCCACTATCTGGATCTTTCAACCATAGACAAGGTTTTGTGAGCATTTCTGCTAGGACCAAAACTATTACCAGTTTGAATGAAAAAGTTGCCGTCGGAAAACAGTATTTTTTTAGATGGTAGACTTTGTCGCTTTATTATTTTCAATAACTCACTGCCAACTCGCCTTAAATGGGTGTGGTGTGTGGGTTGTGGTTGTAGATATCAATCTTCTCTTGTTACTCACATCCAGAACAAATTGTCGCAGGTAATTTTTAAAAACTTTTAGATAGAAATGTAGAGAGCACTTCAAGCTACATGTTAATGTTTTTTTTCTGAAAAATAATAAAAAATAAAAAAAGTGAGTAAACTTATGGCTTCAAATTTAAAAGATGTGTTCAGAATAGCCCCTATCTACTATATGATTTCTATTTTTTTTAAATTTTTTTCAGTGTAAATGTATTTTGAGAAAAGCAACGATTTTTAGCACTTGCCGATTGAGGATGTTCTCATTGTACTGAAAGTATTTTCCAATCAATTAATGCAAGAAAATAGTTTCATAGACAGAGTGATAGAGAATTGCACGCTCTATCAGAATCTGTAATCGCTTTTTAGAAAGTTCTTTCTATAGTGATGAAAAATTTTTAAGAACCAGTTTTGATTACTAGAAAAAAATCAAGCCTATGGGTAACTTCACTTTACTCAATATGTTTTGCAAATATATAAGTGTAAATAAAAATGCATATATAAAAGGCGATAGAAAACTTCACGGGTACTCAGAATATGTCATCACTTTTTCAAAAGCGTCCTTTCATAGTAACAATTTATATAAAATACAGACTACAATTGCTCCCTTCCTCGTATACGTAGTCACGGAGACAATGGCGAACAAGATAATCCTTATCCACTAAAGAACTCCTGTTCACTTGTTTTTGTGTTGTCTATTTGCCCATTTTAGAACCTTTAATATATATGAGGAAATACATACTGTAATCGTAAGAATTTTCCCTCGTTTTCTATATGATCATACGTACACACCAGATTCTTTTTTCTTTTTATTCACGCTTCGTGAACTTTTCCTTTCTGTCGTTGATATATGCTAGAATTTTCCTTTTCTTCTTTATTACAAGTTGTTCTATGGAATTTTCCATCCTGCTATCTTCGTATGTATTCATAGGTATTGTCCCGAAATTCGGAAAAAAAAATCCGGAAGAAAAAATCCGGAGGAAAAAATCCGGAAAAAAAATAATTTGGAAAATATAAATCCGGAGGAACAA